GGTCCTGTTTACGTATTCAGTCCGTTAGCCTATGTCTTCTTATTCAGGAATTGAGTCCATTGGTGTTAAGAGATATTAAGGAACAGTGATTGTTGTTTCCTGTTATTTTTGTTATTAGAGGTGGAATTATCTTTGTATGGTTATCTTCTTTTGGATTTGTTGGAAGAGGATTACTTTCTTGCTCTGTCTGGGGTATAATTTCCCTCCTTGTATTGGAGCTTTCCCGCTAATATCCTTTGTAATGCCGGGTTTGTGGAAAGATACTGTGTAAATTTGGTTTTGTCATGGAATATCTTGGTTTCTCCATCTATGGTAATTGAGAGTTTTGCTGGGTATAGTAGTCTGGGCTGGCATTTGTGTTCTCTTAGGGTCTGTATGATGTCAGTCCAGGATCTTCTGGCTTTTATAGTATCTGGTGAGAAGTCTTGTGTAATTCTTATAGGTCTGCCTTTATATGTTACTTGGCCTTTTTCCCTTACTGCTTTTAGTATTCTTTCTTTGTTTTATGCATTTGATGTTTTGATTATTATGTGATGGGAGGTATTTCTTTTCTGGTCTAGTCTGTTTGGCGTTCTGTAGGCTTCTTGTATGTTTATGGGCTTCTTGTTCTTTAGGTTAGGGAAGTTTTCTTCTATAATTTTGTTGAAGATATTTATTGGCCCTTTAAGTTGGGAATCTTCACTCTCATCTATACCTATTATCCTTAGGTTTGGTCTTCTCATTGTGTCCTGGATTTCCTGGATGTTTTGTGTTAAGAACTTTTTGCATTTTGCATTTTCTTTGACAGTTGTGTCAATATCTTCTATGGTGTCTTCTGCACCTCAGATTCTCTCTTCTATCTCTTGTATTCTGTTGGTGATGTTTTGCATCTATGACTTCTGATTATTTTTTCCTAGGTTTTCTATCTCCAGGGTAGTCTCCCTTTGTGATTTTTTTTTTTTATTGTTTCTACTTCCATTTTTATGTCCTGGGTGGTTTTATTCCTTCACCTGTTTGGTTGTGTTCTCTTGTAATTCTTTAAGGGATTTTCGTGTTTCCTCTTTAAGGGCTTCTGTTTACCTGTGTTCTCAACTTCTTTGAGAGTGTTATGTCCTTCTAAAAGTCCTCTGTCATCATCATTAGAAGTGATTTTAAATCTGAATCTTGCTTTCCTGGTGATATGGGGAATTCAGGACTTTCTAGTGTGGGAGAACTAGGTTCTAATGATGCCAAGTACCCTGGGTTGCTGATGCTTATGTTCTTGTGCTTGCCTTTTGCCATCTGGATCACCTTAGTGCTACCTGCCCTGTCTCTTACTGGAGCCTGTCTTTCCTATTATCTTGGTTGTTTCAGAACTGTGTGGGGTGGGTGTTACTCCTGGGGTTGGAGCTGGGGCCCAAGATTTGCTCAGTGCTCAAGCCCAGACCAGAAGGAACCAGTGCTCCAGGCCAGGAGTGAATTCCTGGGTCCTAGTGGGTCCCAGTTACTCCCTGTTTGGGGCAGGTGTTGCTGTCTCCTTACCTAAGATGCTGCCGGGGTTAGAGCTCCTGGGAGGCCCGCTTCCTCTGGGTTTGGTGAGATTAGGTGCAGAGCAGCCGCCTGGGATCTGCTCAGTACGCGGGCCCAGGCCAGAAGGCGATATATATATATATATATATATGTTCATTTTGTGCGTGCTTGCGTGCGTGCCTGCGTGTTGTGCAATGCCATACAATTAGAGGACAGCTTGCAAGAGTGAGTTTTCTGCATTGAGAATGTAGGTCCCAAGGTGTGAACTTAGGTACTCAGGCATAGTTACAGCCGCCTTTACCCAGTAAGCCACCTCACCAATTCATTAATTCCTTTTATTCAAATATTTGTTTTATTAATCCTTTGGTGATTCTTACAATAATTACCCAGGCTTTTTATATGCATTCAGAATGTTTAAAAACCTAGCTTCTTTAGTCTAAGAGCAATTAGGAAATACTTAAGTCATATTCCCTCTGTTTTACTCCTTTCATTTATTTGAAGGGATTCTGTCGGGCAAATCTCACGCCCGGGTCGCGCGGGAGTGGCCCGCGCGCAGATGTCAGGGCGGTCCCGGGAGCCGAGACCTCGGCCGGCAGCGGCACTCTCTGGTACAAAGAGAGTACAAAAAGCTGCAGAGTCCCGAGAGCTGAGACGCTGGGACGCTGCGCGCCAGACAAGATGCTGGGGCTCTAACCGCTCAACGTGCTGAGGCGCTCTGGGAACCTCAGCTCTCAGGAGAAAGTGTCCAGTGGCCCGTTAACTCTCTCCCACTCCCGCCCTTCCACGTGGGTTTTGGCTTACGCAATGAGTCCAGGATTTCACGAGACATGTGGAGATTTAAGATGTGTTGATTTATTAACAGACGGGTTTGGATGGTGTGGAACTCTCCCGAAACGTGTCGGAAGGTGCTTGTTTATATATTGGAAGCGGGCGGGGCTTCAGGTTATGACCTAGCAAGGGCTTTATGTTAGGTCTCTGGGTTTTGGGGGCGTGGCTGAACACCCAGGATTTTATTATAGTCCCACAGGATTCTTTTTGGCATTTGTTTGTTTGTTTCTTTGTTTTCAATGTCTTTGATCTCATCTTTCTTTTCTCCTTCCTCAATCTCTACATTTTGCTGCTGGTTAACTGATCCTACTCTTTTCTTTTTCTCATTTAAATTCCACCAGGGCTCAGTCTATAAAGTGCATGCTGCATAAGCATTAGGACCAGACTTCAGTAAGAGGCTGTATATAGTGGCTTGCATGTGTAATCCTCGTTGTGGGAAGAGGGTAAAGGAGACAGACAGACAGATCCCTAGAGCTCTTGAGTAGCCATTTTAGCTGTGTCACTAAGCTCCAGATTCAGGGAGAGACTCTGTCTCAAACATAAAATGGTGAGTAATTGAGGAAAACATCCAACATTGGCCTCTGGTTTCCACACATTGGGACATGTACACACCTACATGCCATTCCACACACACAGTAGAATAGATTTTACTTATCATGCTAATTTAACATTATGTTCATATGGAATTTTTATTCATAAAATAAATAAAAGTGCTGTTTTCCATGTACCTGTAAGAATTTCATTTCGTGGAATCACATGCCTTTGATATATATACCACACCACTAGATACTGGGAAAGCCAGAGTGAAAACCCAGTGAACAGATTCTCAGAGCCATGTTGGCTAATGGGTGTTAAATGCAATCTGCCTGCTTTGGTTCTGCCAACCATTTCTGTCCATGCTGTCATCTTATGACAACATCCATGTAGGCAGAGAACCACCATGGCCTCAGTTATCACTTGCTTCTCTTTCATTTCCTCCTCTTTCTCTCCTCGATTCCTTTTCCAGTCACAGCATAGATTGCAGCTACCTGTCTCAGAGTACTGTTGTCTAACTGCTTTGTGCCAGTTGTGCAGATTTATTGCCTAGTCTTGAACTTGGCTTTATATGTCTGTTCCTGCCAGAAAAGATGATTATAACAGTGGCTACAGAGCATGAAGCATGCCATGGCTTCTCCTTGATTGAGTGTTCATAGGTAAAAAGAGGAGAGTGTCCTTTGATCTCATTGACTTAAGACTTTCTCTGCATGCATCTATATCCATGAAAAATATCAATTATGATTTCATCTATAAAAATTTAACTTTATGTATTTGGGCCTTAGTATAATCTATTGAATAAAAAAGTATATGTTTAGTAGACATAAGATTGTATAGTAGAGTTTCCACTGTACTTGAAATTGTTGGGAATCTTGGGAAATTAGTTTGTGTTCTCAGGAAGAGTAGCTGCACTCCTAATTGGTCCATCTTCCAGCCCTTTGGTGGAAGTTTTCTATGGTCATAAGAACTAGAACTGGCATACTAATCCACTAGTAAAAATTACCATATAAACCAGGAGAGGCTAGGTTCCTCCTCCCAAGGAAGATTACTTTCTTCTACCTGCTCTGTTCATTCTTCTTTCTTTGGTTAGTAGAAAGAATTGATGAGAAACCCTTCTTAGAGTCTCGTGATTGAAAATAAATTGCTTTTATGACTGTGAAGTGGTATTCTTTAATTTCATTTGAACCATGTATTATTACTTACTGTTGCTTAAATGACATAAGCCACCTGTGTTACAGCCAGGCTGACCAGCACAGAGTGTTCCTTTGGTCCTCATAGACCTTACCTGGCTGTCTTTGTTTAGTCATCTTGTATCCTGTGTCAGAATACAAGTTTTCACTCTTGAGCAAGTTCCTAACTCCAGTAATATCCAAGAGAAGTTTCTTTTCTTTCTATCAAAATAAAACTACCTCCTCTTTTCTTGCTCTCAGGTGATATTTTGAAATGGTTGTCTACCACATAGTAGTTCGCAACCTGCTTTATTTTCTTCCTGCTTTCTAAATCCAATGTAGACACTCTTGACCTGTTTCCAGAACTGCAGTTAGTTATTGCCAATTTGACCTTTGACTCAAGGTTCACCCAGTTTTATCACAAGAGTTTCTGTATGGTTGATCTCACAGTTTTTCACATCAAGAGATTCTGGATTAGTCAGTCTTCCTTCTGGCACAGCAACAAGTCCTGATAGCTGAGGAGGAGCAGAGGTAAGCGTCAGGGACATGAGCTAGAACAGCACTGTTGTGTGGTCACCATGCTCATGTCACTGAGCCGCATTGTGGACACTGAGGAGCAGTGTAAGCTGCCATTCCCGTTCTGGAGGAACTTAAAATCTTAGAGATAGGAAGTCTTTAGCAATCAGTTTAGTTTTAAATTATTAGAAAAAACCTGCTAGTTATGTTAAAATTGGTGCCTCAATCTTACAAGAATTTTATGTCCTTAACACACACACACACACACACACACACACACACACACACACACACAC